TTAGAGAAACACCAGAGGCACTGAAGGCCAGCTGAGGTTTGTGAGTAGAGTTACAATCCATTGAATTGTATTTTTATTTCACAATATCTCTGGCAGCTTAGTATATTAGCAAATAAACTGGATTGTCGGAACCTAAGTGAGAAGGAATGGTTGACCTCACAGATGATGAATCGGTCTTTACATGGTGGGGTGGGAGATGCAAAAAAAGCAGGCAAGCTCAAGAGGAAGTGGTCAAAGGCTGAGAATTCTCATTTTTATTTCACTTAATATTCACATAAATGTAAAGGAATTTACGTGAGCAAATAATGGTTCATTTAATTCTTGTAGGAAACATACAAGATAGACATTATTATTATATCAGTTTTACAGCTGAGGAAACTAAAGTCTGAGAGGTTTTACACATGTGCCCAGACCACTTAGATAGGCCGGGTCAAAGCTAAGATTCATTCAACTAGTGAAATGAAGGGTCCAAGTTCTTGAGAATTGTGCTATAAATATTTAAATTAAAAGTTGGAAAGTAAGTTAAGTGAACATAGGCCATGGTACAAGTAAAATCCCAGAATTTAAATTTTTAGAATAAGAGTAGTCTTTGGAAATTACAAGGCTTGTGCATGTGTGCCAATTCGTCTCAGTTGTGTCTGACCCTATTCGACCCTATGAGCTGTAGACTGCCAGGCTTCCTCTGTCCATGTGATTCTCCAGGCAAGAATACTGGAATGGGTGGCCACGCCCTCCTCCAGGGGAATCATCCCAACCCAGGGATCGAACCTGCATCTCTTCTGTCTCCTGTATTGACAGGCAGGTTCCTTACCACTAGCACCACCTGGGAAGCCCTACAGGTTTTAGGGTATAGCATTAAAAGTGAGCGCTGAAATAAAATGGAGGTGAGGTCACAGAATTTGAGGAATATAAGGAGATGCTAAGAGGGATGTACTGAATGACTCTCCATAAACCACTGTTGTGGGCTTAAGGGGAAGAGGGCAAGTTGGCCCTGGTACAGTGTTCTCATCTATGTGTCATCCGGTCCCATCACTTCATGGCAGATAGATGGGGAAATAGTGAAAACAGTGGCTGACTTTATTTTGCTGGGCTCCAAAATCACTGCAGATGGTGATTGCATTCATGAAATTAAAAGACGCTTGCTCCTTGGAAGGAAAGTTATGACCAACCTAGACAGCATTTTAAAAAGCAGAGACATTACTTTGCCAACAAAGGTCTGTCTAGTCAAGGCTACGGTTTTTCCAGTGGTCATGTATGGATGTGAGAGTTGGACTATAAAGAAAGCTGAGTGCCGAAGAATTGATGCTTTTGAACTGTGGTGTTGGAGAAGACTCTTGAGAGTCCCTTGGACTGCAAGGAGATCCAACCAGTCCATCCTAAAGGAGATCAGTCCTGGGTGTTCATTGGAAGGACTGATGCTGAAGCTGAAACTCCAATACTCTGGCCACCTGATGCGAAGAACTGACTCATTTGAAAAGACCCTGATGCTGGGAAAGATTGAGGGCAGGAGGAGAAGGGGATGACAGAGGATGAGATGGTTGGATGGCATCACTGACACAATGAACACGGGTTTGGGTGGACTCTGGGAGTTGGTGATGGACAGGGAGGCCTGGCATGCTTCAGTTCATGGGGTCGCAAAGAGTCGGACACGACCGAGTGACTGAAGTGAACTGATGTGTCTGGATGGTTGGTAACTTGTGCCAACGAGGAGACATAAAAATAGAATTCCTCCACAACTTCAGGACACGCACACACATGCATGCACACATACTTTCCAAGGGTGCATGGGAATAGGTGAATAAATACCTTGTACTGATTGGGGGGTCTCAGTACCTGCAAAGCCCACATTTGGGCATTAGGATTGAGTTAAAGATCAGTGACGGAAAGCAAGTTGAAGATGATGTAATCAGGGGAAAGTTCAAGAGCTTTGGTTTGTTAGGTTCCTTTCAATGGAAAAAAAAAAATTGCTTTCTTCTAAACATTTTGTAAATGCCTGGCAGAGAAGAGAGGTGAAGAGATTAGAAGTGGCAGCAATCACTAAATAGATTTATAAAACATTGTTTTGTGGGGGGAAGAAATTTCAAACAGTGCCATTCATTTATGTAATAACCCAGGCAAGTGAAGTGAAAGTCACCCAGTTGTGTCCCCATGGATCCCCATGGACTACTCCCCGTGGACTGTAGCCCGCCAAGCTCCTTTGTCCATGGGATTCTTCAGGCAAGAATACTGGAGTGGGTTGCCATTTCCTTCTGTAATAATCCAGGTAAAAGCATATCAAATACTGTCACCGATAATTCAAGAAACAATTGTAGTTTCAGGTGAATTGTGTGCCTGCGTATGTGTGTTATGTATTTTCATTAGACAAAAGGAATTGCGTAAACCAATGCTTCTCAAAACATGGTCCCTGCTACATAAGCATGACCTGAAAATTCTAAAACCCCATTCCAAGCCTGCTGAATGATATATACTGGAGGTGGGGCCCAGTAAGCTGTGTTCATAAGTCCTGCAGGTGATTCTTACATATGATAAAGTTCAAGAATCTCTGACCTAAGGCAATGTGTCTCTACTCCTTTATTACTTAGCTACTGGAAAACTGAGATTCCAAAACAACACTCAGCTGCAAAAGTTAATTATATCAGTTGCTTCATCATATGCACTTTTGTGTTCATTTTAATTTTCTTAGTTTCTTCTCTCTAGTATATATTGTGTTTGATAAGTCATAACCATTTCAGAAATAAGTATGTATTAAATTAACCTCCAGGGATTTCTTTGATGGCTCAATGATAAAGAATCCGCCTGCAGGGCAGGAGCTGCAGGAGATGCTGTTTCGATTCCTGGGTTGGGAAGATCCCCTGGAGAAGGAAACAGCAATTCACTGCAGAGTTACTGCCTGGGAAATGCCATGGACAGAAGAGCCGGGGGGCTACAGTCCGTGGGGTCTCAAAGAGTCGGACACAACTGAGTGACTAAGTACACAGGCACACAAATTAACAACCATTAAATTTTTTAAAAAAACTTGCTGAAAAACTTTTCAGAATCTGTAACACAACATATGAATGTTAGGAATGTGTAAACATGCAACTATCAAAGGGAGGATGTATAAGTACATGGCTAGGGAAGTACGTGAAAGAAACGGTGTCTGATTTAATTGGTAGAGCAAGGATCCAAGCACTGGCATTTAAAAAACAGACAGAAACACAAGGTCCAGATGAGTAAGAACCAGGTGAAGGTCCTCCAAACCTGAAGGTGGTAGAGAAGAAAACCACAGCATAGCTGGTACCTTCATGTGCTTCTGAAATGGAAATGCATTTACTTTGCAGCCCTGGTGAAAACCACAGCAGTAATGTCAAGAGCTAACAGATCTATCTATGAGGAAAATCTAAAGATATGGTTAAGACAAAAAAAAAATGCAACTGAAAGTTATAAGCTCAAAAAAGAGCTGGAAAACTCAAAGAACCGAGAGAAGGGGATTGATAACACTGAAGAAAGGTAAGTGGCAGGTCAGGTTTGACTTGATTCATCAAATGTTTTTGAGTCACTCCTGGGTTAACAGTCTGCCTTGCAATAGTAGACAAAGACTATGGATTCAAAGATTCAAACAGAGAACTTAAAACATACCAAAACATAGCTCTTAGGAATTCTACCTTAAAAACAAAATACTTCTAGTTGACCTAAAAATAATTAAACTGGAACAGAAAGACCATGTTGGGAGAAGTGATGTTGTCTTTATTCATTCTCAGACCTGGATTAGAATATTTGTCTTTGGAGTTTTAAAATCATCCCAAACCTGGTCCTGATAACACCTGAGAAAACTTTCTTGCTGGCCTTTACTTCAATAGAAATTCACTAAACATTAATATTTATTTTGGAATGAGAGAGATATCTACAGGTTCTTAGGAATACAAATAAATCTTGAAATGCAAATATTCAACATTTAGAACTAATAAATATGTATTTAAAGAATGATATTAATATGGTTTATTCATAACCTAAGCAGGTGTGACTTAAATAATCATATATTAAATTCTTTATTAGTAACAGAAATATTATTAAAAAGTTATCATTAAATTTAACCAAGCATGCTACCTAACCATAATTCTGAGCTGTCATAATATTCTATATTTGATTTAGAAATATCAAATTTAGGATTCATTGTCTTTACTATCATTCCAGTAGCAAGAATGTTTAATTCATTTTAATGCTATCCAATATAACCAGGCTAATCAGATTACCGAACAAACCACCAGCTCTCTATGTAGCAAGGACTTTACAGACAGAATAGATTATTAAATGATTGGGCTTACAGAAAAGGTTTAAAAAAAGTATTTTCCTGCCTTGCAATGAGTACAGTCGGCCACCAGAGAGAGCCCAGTAACTGTATTTTATTGAAGAGATAGCATTTCCTTTCAACTAGATTGAAATTCTCTATCAGAAATGCCTGCTACATGCTAGAAGGAAAATAGCTATTCTTTAATTATAATATTCAGAGTCAATTTCTAGAAATGAAACTCTCATATTTGGCATTTAAGATATTATTTGTTCCTGGCAAAGAAACTTAGTGCAGAAGGTTTCAAGGAAGATTTCCAAAGAGAAAGGTTCAGGTTAACTGTATATAATGAACTGAGCCCTCTTTCTGACTAATGAAAAGATCTTTTATATATTAGAAGTAAGCGTTTTTTCAAAAGAACACAAAGATACTTTTCGACATAACCTGGTTAACAAATTGAGCAAATTAAAAAAATAGGTCAATTGATAAACATATTCAAGAAGTACTCTGTAATAAATGGACCTTGATCAATAATAACCTAAAATTGAGATAGATTATTAATATCTTTTAACTGTCTGATTTTCCGTTGGAGGATTTTTTATTATTAATAACCAAGTCACTTCATTTAATAAGAATGTAGGAAACCATAGTAGAAACAATTTTAAGTTTGTCAATATCTAGCCCCTTCCCCCACCCCAATCATGAGAAGTAAATTAAGTGAAGGTGCACATACACTCCAGCTTATCCTCAGGTCTTCCTCTTTCCAGGAGAGACAGGTAACAGACTATATCCTTCAGATGGATCACTTCCGGGGAACACGTGTTTGCTGGAGAAGTACGAGGAGGGGTGATGGCACCTTTATTCATTTTCAGACCTGGAAAAAAGAACATTTGTCTTTACATACTTAAATTCACAGTGCTCTCAAACAAACAAACAAAAAAGGAAATGGAGAGATAATGCATAGACCATATCAAGAACTGTATATTTCTTAGTCATCAAATAGCCCAAACCTCTGGTACTAGTATAACGGAGACAGACATTCCATGACTCTTTTAAGTAATAGAGAGATCTCTGGCATTCAGGGACACTGGGGCTGCTCCGCAGACCCACTGGAGGGTATGTGGGTCAGAATTCTGTTGCCCAGGGTTGGTTGGTGGACAGAATCCAAAGCATGAAGAACTACTTCCCTACTCCACCTTTCTCCACTTTAGGCAGTGGCAGCTGTAAATCATTTGGGAAGACTGAAAAATGGTCTTTCATTAAAAGGAAAAAAAACAACTGAGGAAATGTGAATCTGTCACAATATGATTTATATACTGACAACCAGGTATCATTCATACATAAAAACATGTATTTATGTCCAATCATGCAAAAGGCATCCTTTTTGCCATCCATGAATCTTCCCATGGGTAAGAGAGAAAAAGAACATACAAAAAATCTGGATAAACATGACAGATTTCATTAGTGAGGTGAGACTACACAACTGTAGTTTAAAAACGGTCCATACTTTATTTCTGACACCTATTCATTGTGCCTATTCCAAGACAAGGGTAGTGAACTTGAATGCCTATTCATAAGAGCTGATGACTGCAGATTATGTGGATGATGATAATTAAGCTGAAACCTTTTCACAATAAATAGTTCCATCTTATGAGAGAAGCCTCTGAAACAAGACCATGTGCATCTGACAAGGTATACCTCAATTATCCTTTGAGGTCTATTTGGTCAAATGAAAAGTATGAGGGTGAGATGGCTAATGGGGTGAATGGCTTCAAGGTTCCTAAATCAACCAGGAGTTACTGGAATGGAAGGAATAACCTTAACCAAATACTGTCTAAAAGCCTGTCATTCATCTGTCATTCACCAGCACACCTCAACCTAACAACATCTCTTGCTCTAGTTTATTTTCTTCCATGTGTAACTTTGATAAAATACCTGTCATTTCCTTCAGCCATTTCAAGGTATCCAGGAATACAATTTCATGCATTATGAAAAGTCAGAAGTTAGTGTCATTTACTGAGTGTATGATACGTAACAGGAACCATGCTGGGCACTTGAACATGTAGCATCATTTTACTTAACTCTCCCACTAACCCTGTGAAGGAGACTGCATTATTACCATTTTACAGATGAGAAACAACCTTAGTGAAATGAATTGCCAGAGTTCCATAACTAGCAAATTTGTCCTCTTTAGTCTATACTAATAGCTTACAGACTATTTTTGTTCAAGGCTAATAGGAAGAAAAAGTAAGAAAAACAATTTATATCTTAATCCAGCACAAATACACACACATACTAATAGGTTTCCTAAATGTGCCAATATTTTCTTTCTTCTGTTAACCTATTCTCTTCTATTTCATTCTTAAAATTCTTTTGTCAAAGACCCCTTAAGTTGAATTCATTATGGGCCACAACCCACAGTTTGTAAAACAGTGCTTTATATCTTTCATTTTCACCAAAGCCTTATTTCAAATATACCTCTATGCTTCACCTTAATGCTACTTCTGTTTACCGTTATTGAAAAAGATACACACACACACACACACACACACACACACACATACACAAATACATACATTATAAATTGATTTCCCCCCTTGACAAAAGTGTCACTGTATATCTAATACAAAGTAATATGGTCACTTTTATAAACCAAGGGCAGAGAATAGAAGACAATCCTGAGCTTTAAAAAGAAAATATCTGACTACTTCTAACTAACCATCTAAAGCCTCACCAGCTGCAGGAATAAGCAGTTTCAGTCTATGATAAAAGACATTTTGGCACTGATCCTTCACATGGCCATAACTTCCAGACTTGGAGAACACAGCACTTGAATTACGGTTGGATAAACTATGACCTAACTCATCCTGCATGATGAGCTAATCCTCTCTTCCATGCTCCCCCTTTATGGCACTGAAATGCTTTAATCAGTTACATTTAACTCTTTTACACTACAACGCAGCACAAAACAAGAAAGAATAAAAAGTGTGTGTTGTCACATTGATCTGCAAGAAAGCCAAAATGTATCCATTTTCACTTACATATTTTCATTTATGACTATCTGTATTTATAAAACAAAGGTTATGGTATCTCAGTATCAGTTTTCATAATACTGAACACAAAAATTTGGAGAATATGACTATCATAGTTTTCTGCTTGCCTTTCTTTTTTCTTTTTTCTTTTTTTTTTTTCATTAGTTGGAGGCTAATTACTTTACAATATTGTAGTGGTTTTTGTCTTACATTGACAAGAATCAGCCATGGTTTTACATGTATTCCCCATCCTGATCCCCCTCCCACCTTCCTCTCCGCCTGATCCCTCTGTGCTTGCCTTTCTTGTATATCATGTACATACTGAACATGAACATAAATGTATAATTGAAATTTAATACTACTTTTGGTCAAGAAACATGTTACTCTACTAAGATTGTTTCTGCTTGACAAAATGACTACTTGCCATTTGCAATTCATGATATGCTGTAAACTAAAAGTTTTATGATGCCTTGAATTGCATCATAATTTCACATTTAAAAGAATTTAAAAGTTATTAAAAAAGAAATTATGGGCATATATGACAACACACAATGAATAACTAACCCAATTTTCCTTAAACCCAATTTCAGCTAAATTTGAGAGGCAAAATGTATACTTTTTGCAAAGATTTATAGGGTGTATCAGAGAAAACAAATAAAATGTCAAAGGCCTTTTTCACAATTACTTTACAACAACAACAAAAAATAGAGAGAGCTGGACTACTAAATCTTGAGGTATTGCATTAAAGAAGCTTGGGATGGTTCTTGCCCCAACCCTCTCCCTTAGATCAGCCCACTTTTTCTTATGTGATGAAATGTTTATTTTTTCATTTAATATTTTGAAAACAGGTCATAGGGCCTCAATCTGTCTTCACAGAGGTTATTTTTACATCTGTACTCTACCCTGTAAAAATTTTTTTCCTGTCCCTAAATTTTGCTGTAGGTCTTTCCCAGTACTTACTCATCTCTCAGAAAGTTCACTTCCTTGAAGAAAAGTGTTTTTCCTTTTAAGCAGTTTGTGCTAAGGGTTATACAGAAAATACAGGAGACCGTGCAAATGGAAAATGAACATAGAAAGCCTGGTTTCCTGCCTACAGCATCTCAATGAAGTGAGATGGTAAATGGAAATCTACACTTCTCTATAGCAGTAATAGCCTCTGAAGAAGAGGCTCAAAAGTCTACTTCCCTTTAATAAAGCCCACTCTAACCCATCCAATCACTGGTGAAACTCCCTCTTCACAATTGGAACTATACGTAAAGCTAGGTATAAAAGCACTGTGTGTTTGTTTTGCCTCAAGTGGTCAATATTTAGTTCTGAAGATCATGTGATTGACACCCAAATTCACACATTCTCTGATTTGCCCAAGGTTATGCTTCTTTAAATATTTCCCCACAAAAGTGAAGTGTATACACCTACACACATGTCATTTATGTCCACAGACCCATATATAACTATACATATATAATACATATTACAAGGTACAACAAAGTACAAAATAAAATGAAAAATAGGCATGGTAATTAGAGTCTATTGGTTTTATTGGGAATAATTAAATTGTACTCTGATGGCATTTTTCTGCTTTTATGATGATTTTATATATGTGTATACATACACACATATATAAACATTCTCTGCAAAGTTTTAAGTACAAAAATAATTAGCATTAGTCACATTGGATATTGTTTATAACTAACAAATTCTTCAAACACCTTATTTTCACTGTATTCTGATACAGATACTCCATTTCTTGAAACAATGACTTTAAAGGTTCTGTTTTAATAGATACATTTTATTCCAGTCTCAAGGTTCAATTATTAGCAAATCAGTTTTGGTACATGTTCAATTACCGTCTCTGCTCCAGTTTATTTTATTTTCAAACACTAGCATTCCAGATAATGAAAACGGTAGTGTTATCTCCATTATTTCCCTTCCTCTATTAAAATGAAATATTCAAAACTAATAATACAAATTAAAATTCTAAAGTTATCACCCAAGAAAACACTCTGGTAATTTGCTTTTTCCAGTTTTTATACTGGTTCAATTTGCAGAAATTTGTCAGGCTTCTCAAGCAATTTGTCACATAGTATAATCACATATCGAGGCTTCCCAGGTGGGTCAGTGGTAAAGAATCTTCCGGGCCATGCAGAAGACACAGGAGATTCGAGTTCAGTTCCTGAGACAGGAAGATCATCTGCAGGAGGAAATGGTCATCCACTCTGGATTTTGCCACAAAAATCTGCCCACAAAATCCCATGGACAGAGGGGCCTGGTGGGCTACAATCCCTGGGGTCACAAAGAGTTGGACACGACTCAGTGACTGAGCATGCAAGCACATCTAATTTCAAACTTTGGGCTCTTCTCAAAAAGCAGTAAAAATAAGACTTTTCTATCAGTCCTGACCAGTATAATATTCTGCAATGATAGATATGTTCTAACCATTGCCTTGTTTAATACAGTGCTATTAGCCACACACAGTTGTTAGAGCATGAGATGTGGCTGGTATTTGGATAAAGAACTGAACTGTTTTAACTGCTTGTTAAATTTAGATTTCAATGCTACCTTGAGCTAGTGGCAACCACAGTGCAGGCAACACACTACATCCACAGGCAGTGTATCGAGAGTTGGTTGAATTCATCTCAGTTCCTTAAATATACTCTAAGTGAGGGAATTAGACCACCACATGTGAAAAGTCATGTTACTAAAATTCCTATATTTGTCACATTAAAACGAAATCTCAATGATACTTTTTATTTTTAATGAAATAATTAACTAATCTGGCTGCGCTGGGTCTTCACTGCTGCATGCAGGCTTTTCTTTAGTTGAGGTGAGTGGGGGCTCCTCT